TGCAGTGTGAGCGGCCCGCGGGGAGCAGTGAGCCGTCTCCTCGCGCAACCCCCCGAGCTCTTCGCGGGGCGGTTGCTAGGGTTTCTGGCCGCCCCTCCTCTTTCACCGCTTCTAAGGTCTTTTCCACATCGGGGGCTGCCCAGGGAGACCAGGCATGGGCAACAGCCACCAGGGGTTTAGTGAAGTGGGAAAGGCAGGACAGGAGGGCAAGTCAGGCCTAGCCCCTCCTCTCTGTAGCCATAATTCTGAGGAAAAATATGTTTTTCATAATACATTTCAAAAACACGATGTGTCTTATATTTGAGATGTGTTGTGTGGGAGAAAATACAATAGTGGTGCCGCTCAGTGTTACAGTGCGTGGAGCCAGAGGAGCCTTCAGTTTAAAAAGGTTGAGAACTGCCATGTGAATGAGTCCCAATTTTTAACAGCAGCAGACAGGGTTCAGGTAGGAAGCGTTGACAGTCGTCATCACCACTTGTCTCCTTAAAGCGAAGGCCACAAGAACTGCTTTGTTGTGGCTTATTGCTGATGGAGAATGAATGTGGTATTTTTTGCATGTGTTACATAAAATACATTGGTGTTTTCATCCTAGGGAACAAATGTCCTCCTGTACTGGGCACATACAGATGGGGTGGGGTTTTTTCATCTTTGAAGGTAATCCCTATCACCCATGGTGTAGGAAGCTATGGAAGTGAAACTAATGCAAGTGTTGCCCAGGCCATTGCTCTGCCTGTATAGATGGAGGTTTTAAGTGCCTAATGCTCTTGATTTTCCTCAGTACAGTTGGCTTTTTCTTTAGCTTTGTTTCTTGCCCTTCTCTCCTTTGCCCATAGCCACACCAGGAGCAGACCGATGTAGAGGCCACTTAAAACTTGTGATTTTTTTTTTTTGTCTATATTAGCAAATATTCTAGAAAAGCTGCATTGTACACAACAGAGGGTTGATTGTGTCCTGCACACTTTGCTTTGCTTGCCATTGCTTTGGTTAAGAAGCTATAAAAAGGTGAAGGATGGACTTTTCAAGCAGTTCTTCATGTGACAGATTCAAAAAATATCAGTACAGCCACTCCTGCGATCAAAGGTTTGCAGGAGAAGTTTTTAATGGTGTCTTGGTTTGTGAGAAGGATTTGGAATAGTATCATTGTCAGCCAGAGTCAAAGCAGGTTTTCTGTGCTAGCAGGGTAAAGTAGCTTGGTGTTACAATTTTCAGTGTTAGGATAACAATTTCAGGTAGTGAAATCTAACCTATTCCATCAGCCATGTACAAGAAGCTCTCTTTTTCTTCTTTCTAACTGTACTTCTTGCCCTATTAGATAACAAGCTGCTGGAGAAGTCGGATCTCCATGCAGTGGTGGCAGACAAGCTACAAGCAGAAAAACAGGATTTGCAAAGCAGGCATGAGATCAGGTATGTGCAATTCTCTTCAAATCAGGAATAGGTCAACATTTTACCCAGCTGTCTTTCCTGTGCACCAAAACATAGTGCATTCAAGTTATATTTGTACAGCCAGTCTCCCTAGGCTACTGTAGTACCTTGGAACCAAACAACATGAACAGCCCTGTCTTAGTCTATCCTGTGCTCTCAAGGGGTGAGTGGCCCACAGGGCATATCTGCAGCCCCCAGGCTTCCACTAAGCCGCCACTCCTCCTTTCACTCTGGCTGCTGCTGCAGACAGGTTCTCCAGGTTCTCTGTTGCTCCTCTGGCTTCTGCTTCCTGCACCTGCCCAAGGGTATTCTGTGATGTGGTATGGTGCAGTGCTGAGGAAAGCCCGTAGCATGCTGCAACAGGAAAGCCCATGGACAGTGAGCTGAGGGGATGCCATCTAGTACAGCAGTTGTGGGGGGCTGCACGTGTGCATAGTAGAGCAGAGAAGTGGGGGCCATCCAAATAGTGGCTACCCTGCAGTGCCTGTGGCTTACACTATTGAGGCCCCTGGTGGTGTGGCATGTGCAGGGTGTGGCTTCTAGCTACTTAAAAGTTGGACAGACCTGGACTAAGATTAACTCCTTTTTCACAAGGTCTCAACATTTAGCAACATATTTTAAGTTAAATCTTATGGAAAGAAGTCTGCTGAATTTTCAGACAGGTAGTAGTTTATCTGGCAATTCATAGCATCCTCCATATTTTAGATGCAGGCAATCCCCGCTTAATGCTGTTTTGCTCAGCGCTGTTTCTCTATAATGCTCGTTTTATATTGATTGCTCAGTGAGTTTTGTTATAACACACACAGTTGCCATCTTGGTTCATCAAAAACTTTCAGTTTCGCTTGACACTATTTCACTTAATGCTCGTTTTTTCAGGAACCAATTAAGAGCACTAAGTGGGGGTTGCCTGTATTCTGAAATGGACTTAAGATAGTCTGACTTGTTTGCTGCATTATTCTCATGGTGCTCATCTTTTAATGTTGCTGTTTATATGATTATAAGCTACCCCTTGCAGTGATTTTTTTTTTTGTTTGGTTTTGTAATGAGTGGAGGAAAAGACCAGGTCCTTACATTACTTAGAAGATCCCAGCACAAGATTTTCTCAAATATGGGTCTTCCATGGTTCTATGAAGACTTTCTCAAATGGTGTCAGAAATTCAACTGAAGTGTACGAATGGCAGGCTTTCCCTCTTTGCTTTGTTGGTAGGAGGAGCAAAATTCAGCCTCGCAAAGTTCAGCCTCAGACGGTTGTACTGCTGTAAGAACTTTGGTACTGTAAGTAGTGGTGATGCAGATGATTCCATTGATATTTGAATCAGTACTGAACCAGTATTCTCACATATATATGGGTGGCACGTGAACTGCAACAGATAAAGACTGATATTGCCATTGAAATAGGGGCATGACACTAGCTGAGGCCAAAATCTGTCAGTTGCTGATGCTTGTAAATGTAATGTGTAAAAGCTGCTTCACCCACCATTGAAACACCACTATTGGTGCAATTCAGCATGTTGTGTAATATTACTGTTTACAGTTAAGGTTATTTACTCCATTGAAATGGTAAGCAAAAATTTAACTAGAATGTGTTTGTGACTGTGACAAAATTTGGCTGATGCACCAGGGCTACTGGCCTTATGAAAAATATCAAAGTTTTCTTAATGGCTGGAATAACTAATACTCTCCTAATTTATGGGAGCCCACCTCCATCTGAATGCTACTCCAGGAGTCAGACCCAGGAGATGCGAGGGTAAGGCAATGGTATGTTAAAAGCATTAAAAACATTCTTTAAAATAAAATTTGAAGCCTTGTTCTGGGAGTGCCCTCAGCCTACTCTTGCCTGTGATGACATGAAATGAGTTCCCTAATCACAGATTTTTAAGGAGAAGACAGTTTACATAAAGACTTAGGGTGAAGTGGCTGATTCTGGTTGCCTTGAACTTTGTGGCTGTGGTAAGTCACAGAGTAACGGACTTTGCATCAGGACTTGCATTTTTAAACTTTGAAAGCTTGTCTAACTATATCACACTTATAGAGTGGGTCCAATAAAAGATATTATCCTAGGAATTCCTTGCCTTTTGCATAAGCTTCTTTTGGCATGTAATCTTTTGGAATGAGTTATTTCCAATACCAGATCAGAAGAATACTGAAATACCAACACGACTCATTAAACCTAGTTTTTCTTTGGAGAACTGTCTTAGTTATTAGTGACTGAGCTGGAATCCATTTAGTTTTCAAGAGCTGATATAACAGCAGATCAAAGTATTATGCCTCTAGGAAATGGAAATATATGCTGTAATGCAGACTAAAGCAAGAGAGAAGCTTGAAGTGACCACATGCCGATTTCTGGCATTCTTTTTCTTTCTTTTTTGGGTTTTTTTATCTTTATGGTCTTCAGAGCTGGCTATTGGTCTTTTCCCCCAGATCATCAAGCGAAAGAAGATTAAATAGCAAGAGTTTTCTTTTTGTCAGTCTTAAATCAATTTAATTATCTCTCATATATATTTTCTCATGTTCACTGTATTTTAGAAAAATTGTGGTGTGTTTAAACGCTAAAAAGTAGCTACTGATTTGCTTAAAATATCTTTTTAAAACTTCATGTGTACAAGCTTTTTAAAAATATAACAGGTTCTTTAGTATTAGTATTATAGGTGGTGCCATATTATGCTTGTATCACAATAGTTTCTAAATGCCCATTTGAGTTTGTGGCAACGCTGTGCTGTATGAATGAGATGCACTCTTTGCCCAAAGTAGCTGAGGCAGATGAAAAATGTCCTGAGCATAGAGGGGGACAATAACTGTTGTGGTGTTAGGACAGTCAGTAGCAGAGCTTGGAGTAGTCCCGAGATCCCCTGATTCAGGCCAGTATTCTTTCTATATGACCCTTCTGTTCCTGAAAATCATTGGTACCTTTATGGTTAATCGGTATCTTTCAAAAATCTCTTAAATGTATCCCAGTCTGAGAATTCTTGCAGTCTTTAGGGTATTCCTTCAAACCCTTGCCTTGCTTCAATTTCAATTTAAAACTGCACTTGTAATGTTTGGATCTAAGAAATGTTACATAGGTGGTACGAGCGAGTTTGGTCTTCAGTAAACTGAGAAACTGTTAAATCTTATTACTTGTGGTAGATGTTCATCTGGAGCTAATTGTGAAGTTGGTGTTAGGGAGTAGTCTGGTAATGTTGAGGAGTCATGCCTTAAATGGTGTAAACTCAGTGAAGGCCAGTAACTCCTCCACACCACCATCCCCTGGGTTACTGAATTGTTGCCAACTTCCTGGCTTCCTAGGCCAGATAAAATTGCTTGGTGGGCTGGATCCAGATTGTGGCTGGCCATCCCTTGATGTCAATAATTTGAAAGTTACAAATGTTAACCTCTGAGCATCAGCTAAAATTTCATTTAAAGTTTAACAAGCAGCTAAGCTATGGGTAAGATGTTCCAGGCATAAGAAGCTGTAAAAAAAAACAACCCCCCCAAAAAAAACAAACAAAAACAATCCCAAACATACATACATAAAAATGCTAACAAACAGGTGGAATTGTGTAGAGCAGACCAGGGCTAGCTAGATCCATCAGGGGGATGGAAAGAGGGTGACAAAATTCATAGCTCAGTTTAAAAAGGTTAAGGTTTGCTCTAAGACCTTGTGGAGGCTGTAATATGCTTAGAGAACAAAGAAGATATGAGGAAGCAGTCAGCAGCAATTCTGTGTAGAGCAGGGGTGGATGGATGATGGGGCTCCATGGGCCAGATTTGGCGTGAGGGCTATATTTTTGACAACCCTGGTGTAGAGCTTTGGGAGGCCCTAGACCAGGGAAATGTGAGAAAAGATAAAGATTTTGAAGAAAGAGATTTTGGGTGGAGGTGCACCAATATATTGGTTACCTATCAGATAGGCATTGATGAAAAGGAAATGAAATTATTTGCTATTAGATTTCTTTGGCCATTGTAGCTGGTAATGTTTTCTGATAATTATGCCTTCTGCCCAGGGCCCTGGATGCCTGGGTTCCATCCTGCAAGCAGGGATGACCCCAGGTACACCCCCATCCCCTCACCGGTGCACCGGGCTGGGCTGGAGCAGAGAGGAGTAGCTGCTGTGGTGTCCCAGGCACTAGCGCAGTGCGGACTGTGGGCTGGGGCCAGAGTGGGTGCTGGAAAAGGCACTGAATGCTGCAAAGATGTGACTTGGGCGGGGAGGGGCAGGCAGAGCTGGCCAGCCCAGCGTCACTCAACCCTTAGGCTTGTGCCCCAAGGCCTGAGGGTAGAACCTGGCAGGAGCCGAGGCAGCCGCTTCCCTTCAGTGTGTGCAGCAGGGTCCTTCCTCTGGCCCCTCAGCCCAGCTGGGTCCTGCCTTTCCCAGGGCTGGGTCCATTCAGTCTCCTCATGGGGTATGGGGGCTTGCCCTGCCCCTGGCAGCTATCAGTATCAGCCAAGAAAATCTTTATTGAAGCACCTCTAATTTTGGGATAGAATTATGGCAGGTTTGAAGGCACTGAATTTTGGCGGGGAAAAGTGGGCTTTTGGTCGAGAATGACTTGAGCACCATTTATCAACAATGAAGAAACAAATGAGGGTCCTAATTGGGCTTCATGGAGTAGTGCTAAATATTACTCCTTTTCCAGAAGAGTGAAATCTGTCCTTGAAATTGTAAGGGATGGAATTAAATCACATTTTTGCTAATGTAAGAAAAGTGATGAATAGTCATGTAGGGCAGCGTTTCCCAACTGATGTGCTGCAGCACACCGGTGTGCCATGGAATGGGGTGGGGCGTGGCTCCTGGTAGGGTGTGGCTACCGCCATTGCCAGCACTGTACCCTGGCCATGCCCATGCCAACTTCCCCCAGCTCTGTTTGGCCAGTGTGCTGTGGGATGGGAAAGGTTGGGAAACACTGATATCCTGCACTCCCGACCTGCTGCCCCCAGGTCCCAGCTCCACCGTGTGTGGGTTTGGGGGAGGGGGGGCATGGGGATCTGCAAGGGCAAACCCATGGTTTCCCATGTTTTTGTCTTTTAAAGGAGAATCCATTTTTAAAGTTTGTTTGTGACCCTTTCATATATTCTTGCCACTCACTTTTGGGTCATAACCTGCAGGTTGAGAAACACTGATATATATTAACTTCCTTGCTGGTTAAATTGTATATGGTACCTAGAAAAAGGGAGGGGTATGGCTATCGTGAGTCTACCTAGACAAAGGTGCCGAAGTAGTTGGATTGTAACTTATGAAATCTTCTCTCTTTCCCATCTTCCTGCCCCCCCCTCAAACACCTTTTTGAATTCCAGTCCAGGGCATGATGGTACATGGAGTGAAGCTCAGTTGCAGGAACTGGCCCAGCTGAGAATTAAGTATCAAGAGGAGCTGACGGAGCTGCATAAGAAACGTGGTGAGGTTAGGAACTCTTTTTGTGTTCTGTGCATCGTGTGTGTGGACCTTTTGCAAATATGGATTCTGTGTGCTGTAGTTGTTGGAAGGTGTTGGATTTTAATTCTGTTTTGTTACGTCTAATGTATTCTTCTTTAATCATCTGTTTCTACCCTTTGATGCTTCTCATTTGCAGAAACACAACCTATTTAAGCTGCCAACCCATTTAAATCCTGGTTTAGATTTGCTTTTTGTGGCTAATTGACACACTTGAATATTTCAGAGCTTTTTTAGCCATTTTAAAGAAGTGAACCTTTTTTCCTAGTATGTAACAGTGATTACTCTTTCTTGGGTGTAGACTTCCCTATCTGATATCCTGTATCTTGGTAATATACCTAGCCTGGTTTCCTGGTTTTGAAAAGGAAAGAGAAGCACATCTCACTTGTAGTTTTGGATTGATACTATCTAACTGAGAGCCAGTCAGTGTTTGCTTGTCTAGGTGACAGCCCTGCACTGTATAGTAATTCTTTTCTCTCTCTAGTTGGCCCAGTCTGTAATAGATTTGAATAACCAAATGCAGCAGAAAGACCGAGAGATGCAGCTGAATGAAGCAAAGTGAGTAGGAGCAATTTCTTTTTCATGATGGGGTATGAGACCCAGAATTTTGATTGGATTATTTGTTTGTGTAATAGGGTCTAGGAGCCCTAGTCATGGGCCAGAACCCTGTTTCGCTAAGTTGTGCATGCACACTGCCCTAGATAACATTCTCACTGCTACATATTGTGTACTTACAGAATTGCAGAGTATTTGCAAAAGATCTCTGAGCTGGAAACAGAGTGCCAGGAGTTACGCAACAAACTGCAGGATCTTGAGCAAGCTAATCAAACATTGAAGGATGAGTATGATGCCCTTCAGATCACCTTTAATGCTCTAGAAGAGAAACTGAGGAAAACCACTGAAGACAACCAAGAGCTGGTCTCACGTTGGATGGCAGAAAAGGCTCAGGAAGCCAATCGTCTCAATGCAGAAAATGAGAAAGATTCAAGGTGAGATTTGGTCACCTCTACTTGATGATCTTTGATTGGGTAGGGTTTTTAGTACTCATGAATTCAAAAGGTACAGCTTTCAACATCTAGCCCCAAAAGGACCGTGCTTCTGAAGTTGTCTCTTGTACTCTGAAAGTCTAGAAATTTAAAAAAGTCACCTTCTTCCCATGGAAGAACATCTTCTCCAGGTCTTTTGTCTAGATTTAAATCAAATCCACACTTCATTTAAAACAAGTTGGGGGTGGCTCTGCTTTGAGCAGGGGGTTGGACTAGATGATCTTCTGAGGTTCTGTCCAACCCTTTCTATGATTTAAATCACGACTTAAATCACTGGTAAGCAAGCCTCAGTGTAATCATTGTTTTCTGCAAAAAGTGTGTTCTTGTTGTTTGATATCCATGATTCATTTAACTTGTTGAAACTTTGCACTTTTACAGGGAGGTAAGGGCTTGACACTGTACACAAACTTGCAGAGAGAAAATAGGGCTGATGGGTGGGTAAGCAGGTCTGTTATCCCCATATATTGCTCTTAACAAGGATGTTATTTCTGGAGACACAAACCCACAGTTTGAGAACTGAAACTAAGCAGCACAGAGATGCTTAATGGGATCTTTTAGACCCGGGTGGCCAACCTGCGGCTCCTCAGAAGTTAATGTGCGTCTCCTTGAATCTTTGCACAAGCACATGGTGACCAGGCTTCCATTTGGTGTGAGCGTTCCTGACTATCCATTTGGAAGTTGGTCACCATGTGCTTGTGCAAAGATTCAAGGAGACGCATATTCACTTCTGAAGAGCCGTATGTGGCTCCAGAGCCATAGGTTGGCTATACCTGTTCTAGACTGAGCACTGAGTCCCATTGAGTAGAGTGATTTTTCTTTAATCTTTACTAATCTATAGAGGAGCCTCTAGGAACCCCATAAGATTGGGCTCCTAATATAGTCCATGGCCTGTTGTGACCTATTTATAAAACTTTACTAAAAAGGTTATGTGAATATATTGTCTCAAATAGTATATAATTAGAAGTTATAACCCCTGTTCTATGATGATGTATTTGAGCTTTAATATCTCTTTAAAATAAATGTATATAAAAATAGTTTTAATTTTTTTTAAAAAGCATCTTAAAAAAAATCAGAAATACAATTTAAATAAAAAAATCTGATTTAAATTACAAAAATCTAACTATGTATTTTATTTATTTATTTATAAAAATCCTTAATTGTTATCCACCCTGTGAAGTAATGATTTTCCTGCTATTTCTTCCCATAACTATTCCTGAGTGTAATAGGACAAACATCAGGAATCTCTACCTTGGCATTAAACTTGGTCTATACTTTGCTCCATCATACTTTGTATGGCTAATTTTTAGCCCCTGCCCTTTGGCTAAGTTAACTAGTTGTAAATTATGTATTCTGTTAACTTCCTTGGTTGTCATTTGATCACTAGCTTAATCCTATTTTTTTTTATTTCTGGGGTACTCATCTGAATTTTCTGTTGAATTAGCATGTAATAATATTAAAATGCCAAAGATCTATATACAGTCTTCAGAGTATAGTTTTGTCCTTGTAATGTATAATGCCTTGTTATTGCATTGTGATGCATGTATATTAGCAGCATAAAATTGTATTACCGTATTTACTTGATTAAAAGATGAAGTCCCTCCCCATCATTTAACATTGGGGGATGGGGGGGCGACACAACCCCTTGCCCTAAAATCAAGCACAAGGCAGGGATGTGGTGGGGGGGGGGAGGCAGATGCTTTCTTGGATAACTAGAAGTACAAGAATGAAATGAAGGTCATGGTAGTTATAGCAATTTATGAAACAGCCTTCTGTATACTCTGCAATAAATGCTGATGGGCTGGATTCTTTGGAGACAGGGTTGACTTAAGATTTTGAGCCTGTGGAATGACTTTTAAAAATGGGGCCTCTAATTACATTGTGTATCATACTGAAAGGATATGCCTGAACCTAAAGGGATGGAATCTTTATTTATTAAAGGCTAGATTTGCACACCAACTTATCAGAAGCAGAGTTTCTTCTTTGTATTATAAAATGTATCTCTTCAATGTCTTCTTTCTGGTCATCTGACATCTTGTGTACCTGCAGCTGCAGTTGAACACTTTATAAAAACCTGTTAGAATTCTGGAGGCTAATTGAATTGGGATCGAGGAAACTGTTCCTGACTTTGTTCAAATAAGTATGCATTCTTCTTTCCTCTAGGAGACGGCAAGCCAGACTGCAGAAAGAACTGGCAGAAGCTGCCAAAGAACCTCTGTCTGTTGAACAGTAAGTCATCCTTATTTCAGGCAGGAGAGGTCCCAGAGGTGAGAGAGAGAAATCCTTTGCATCTCTTGTCTGGTTTAGAGCAGTGCCTTTTCCAATCCTTACCATGCAAGTGTGCATTTTATGGAGACGTTGGGTAAATGATGTCTCTATTATTTCTACTAATTGTGACAGATGATTCTTAATTTAAGATAAGATTTCCAGTTTAAAAAATAAGATGTAGCTCCCCTTATTTGTATGTCTTTAGATTAGGGATTCCTGTTGTGACTGACTAAGAATAGAAACTAAAGCCTGAAAGTGCTATGGGTGGTATATATGGTGAATTGAAACCTCTCAGCAGAAGTCAGTTTCTCTTTTTTGTAATATTTGTCGCAACCAGACTGTTTCTTTTGATTTTGAAGCAAGGACCTCTAGAAAGCCTTGTGTTTTAAAATAGTCAGGACTAGATATAGCAGTGTTGGAAGGCTTTCTGTAAGAGCAGAGACTCTGCAATTTGAAAAATAACATTGATTATTTCCATGCTGTAGATTTGCTTTACAGTAAATGATGTTGGTGCAGAATGGCTGTCCCTGGCAGGCTGTATATAGGCATGACCCAAGAGTAGTCTCTGCTTCTCAGGGTTCTTTGTCCCATGTTATTTATTCCTCTCGGATTACCTCATCTGTCTCTGTGTATTTTTACTCTCTGATTCCACTGAACAGTTGCTGCTATACATACTTCTAATCAGGCTTTTGATAATCTTATGAATATTACAATAACCCATAGCTTCAGAATAAGAGTTGGAACAGTGCCTTTTGAAGTGTCTAGGTATAGCAGGGAGCAAATTGGGGAGGAAAGGGCACTGCTAAGGCAATGTAAGCTTTATATAATAAATGGTTTGTAGAGTCACTAATTTTTTACCAAGAAATATTTTGATGTTCCTGTGCCTCTGGCTTACATGAAGAGTAGTTCTTGCAGTAGCAAAATTATAGCTTACCTTTTGTTCACATTTCCTATTGAAAACCTGTCCAGTCAACAAGAACAACGATTTTTCTTTTCTTCTGTCCCTAGGCATTCAGGTAAACATAGATGGAATAGTCTGAATATTAACATTTTTAAACAATTTGTCTAAAACACTTTCCCCTTGAAGTTGAAAACACAGGGGTTTGCTTTCTGTGTTGTTGTTTTTTTTAAAATAGTGTTAGTGAGAGAACAGGAGATGCCAGTCTTTCAGAATGAGAGCTCTTCAGGGCTATTCTTCCATGAGATTTTCCTGAGAGGAAAATACAGGAACACTGTAGTAAACACATGTAGGCTAATCTTCCTTCTGTGCTTAAAATCTTAGCTTGATCTCTAATTATTAAAGATTGACTGAAAGAGAGAAATTTAAGGTGTTTTTATTAAATGTTGGCTTGAATTCTAGGTGAAGAAAGAGCTAAAATCTATAGGTATTAAACCATATAATTTACAGATTTTTTTTTTTATCCTGTGCATAAATTCCATTGTGCTCATTCACTGTCTTCATCATGTAGCATCCATTACTATAAGTGACCAACCAAATTGCAGCACTCTATAAATAAGCTTCAATCTAAGATGTGGGGAAAGATATATTCATGCACTTGAATACAATCAATGTTTCTGTTTGAGGGGTTGATAAAGGGAGTTATTAAAGATGAGCCTTGTCTGACTGACTCAAAAAGACATGTTTCTGAACTTCTCCAGGGATGATGATATTGAAGTCCTTGCTGATGAAACCTCTGACCCAGCTGAGGAGACATCCCCAGTTCGAGCTGTGAGCCGGACTTCCAGGTGTGTAGACTGAGAGAGAGATGACAATTATATTGCTCTTAAAGTATACCAACACAAACTTACTATGCTGCTCTTAGTGCATGATTCTATAGGGCTAGGCTGGTTTTGCTCCACTTACAACTTGGACCCTGCTAACTTGTGTCATTACAGGCACATACAAGGGTAATATTTAGATTGTAACTGCTGCACATGCTCTTTAGCCACTTTAAAAGGGAACGGAATACTGCTTAAGTGTGCATTTGTCCATATCCTGACTCGGGCATTAAAGATATGGCCTGCAGACAAGGATCTGGCCCACAGAGTTGTCATCTGGCCCGCAGTGCATCCCACAGGACCTGAAATTTAGCTATTGCTTATCCTCATGCCAAATAGCCTGCCCTATCAAAGCTCATAGGGCCAGAAATCTGGCAGTGGGATGAGTGGCAACTGCCATGACTCTAGGACTGTGGAAATTAATGTTGCTGATGCCAAATTTCTGGCCTCTTAGGCAGTCCCACAGGCTAGATGACATGGCTTTGCACTCCAGATCTAGCCTCTGGATTCAGCTTTGGTCACTCATCCAGGCTGTGGGCCAGATGAGTTTGACACTCCTACCTTGATTAGAGTTTTTCCCCCAATATAGCATAGGAAGACCAAGTAGGCATGGGTATTGGAACAAGCCAGGGTGCAGAGTTAGAGATGGGATAATTACCACTGTTTTAAGGTTAGGCTGTTGTTGTATGCAGTGCTTGCACTACAGCTTCCTGTTCCTCTACACAGTGGACATGTTGGCTGCTTACAGACATTAAACACTCCCCCTGTGCTTTACTTTAAACTCTGGGGGCCCTGTACCAAGCTCAGCACGTGCCCAAAAGAGGCATCGCATTAGCTGGACTTGACTCATCCAGTGTCTGTATTGATTGGGTGCTTCAGCAATGTTTTTTGGTGCTTTTATCTAATAGCTTATTGAATCAGTTTTAGATAAAAGCACCAAAATGTGACTAATGCGCTGCCTCTTTTAGGAAAGTGTTGGGGTTTTTGCCAAACAGAAATAATGCAATAAGTATTATACTGCTATTTTTAATGTGCATCCCTATATTATGGTGGGATTTACCCACATAAAGGAAAAGGGCTTTCTGGACTTTAAAAAACTGTTGAAAAGCTGTAACTTATTATCTAGACTTAAGTGTGTTTCATATTACAACAGCAGCAAAGGAAGACCTAACTGAGATTAGGAATTTGTGTAAGTGATTAAAACTCTGATGAGACCTGGTAAATTGCATACATTTGAAAAAATCTCTTTCTTTAAAACTTGGGTATCTGTGAAGGGGTTTCCTCCTCTCCCTATCTTCACCCTCAAATATGTATTCCAAGCTGGTGCTGCTGCCCTCTTCTGGGTTTCTCCCTCTTGGGGGTAACTGAAAGGGAGGGTGTCTTCCTGTATACTTGATGCAGTGGGCTGTTTGTTTATTAATCTTTACTTGAACTGTTCACCAAGTTTTAAACCTGTCCTCCCTCCTCTTTAGTAAGCGATTCTCCCAGCCAACTGGAGGCCTTCTGGACTCTATCACTAATATCTTTGGGTATGTTAGAACACCTTTACCTTTTTTTTTTAAATACATTGATTTCAATGAACACCAGAATTTCAGTGATTCAAGGAATACAAACAAATGTCTTAATGTCAGCCTTTCTTCTAGCTTCTGCTTTTCTTTTTTCTTTTTGTTCTCCTCAACTTCCTGTTTCTTCCATCTTGCCGTGTGCTGACCTCTGACCTTTCCCTCCAGTCTGTCTGAATCTCCCCTTTTGGGACATCACTCTTCTGATACTGCCAGGTGAAAACATTATCCACTCTTAGTCCAGCATGTGAATGTGACATTGAAGTAACGTGGAACCCAGCTTCCTTGCCCTGACTAGGCTTCAAATGTCTTACCTTTGGCTAAAAACTTTCCACAGTTGCTGAGTTGCAGCCCATTGCTCTGAGTGAGATGATGTGTGGATTTGGCTCTCATTTGCAGTGACGGAAGTTGTCCCCTCTAATTGGAATATTTAAATTAAGTGAGGTTATCACCAGTGACAGGTCAGTAACCTGTCCTTCAAAACTGAGTTGTTTTTTTAGGTTGAGTTCTGCGTTAATTGTGTTAGAAGATCTTCCTTTAATAAAGAATGGAATCTGGGATTTTAAATGCAGAACTCAACTGTCTGAAATCCTGTCATAGCTGCTGTTGTGCAGTCTGAATTAGTGACGGTGAGTTAGATGGTCTTAAACTCACAGGGTCCATAATTTCTCTTATGTTTTTAGAAAGAGAGCATGACTGCTCAAGAGTTAGGTGGTCAGTGACTTCTGATAACCTTAGTTGGCTTTTAGGCTAAACTAGATAGAAAGGAAGTATAGGCCTACAGTGAAATGCAAAAAATTGTGAGAGGACACAGCACATTACTTTGACAAATTGCTAGCTGAAATCCCAGGGAAGGGGTGGAGGTGGGTTGGGGGGAAGAATGAAGATAGGACTTCTGCCCTTTTCTCATCCACAGCCTACAGTATAGATGAAATCATCAAGGTCTGTCTGCCACTTAAAGACAAGCCAAGTTTGCTGCTATGTTTAAAATAACTTTCTTTTGTATCCCATCTCAGGAGGCGCTCTCTGTCCTCATTCCCCATCCCCCAAGACAATGTAGAGACGCATCCAGTCTCCAGCAAAGAAGTGAGAGTGCCCAGTACTGCTGTATGTGTTTTTGTAAGTATATCCAGGGAATACAAGTCTTTTGCAGACTCGTGCTGTCTAAGAAGAGAACTTGATCACTGAGTAGCAGCAACTACTGGGGTGTCTAGTTCTGCTTGTTGAAACTGGTCTGGGTAGCACTTGGAGATGAGAAGGTAACTCTTGAATCAGTAGTGTTACTTTACACATTTAACCTGTGCTGGCTTTGTCTTTGACCTAGATACGTTAGAACAAGAACATAGGGGGCTCATCTACATGAGTTATTAGCACTCGGTAATAAACTCCAGCACGTGTTGTGCTTGAGTTTATTACTCCTAGGTGTGCTGTTTTAATGTACGCTTTGGACCCACAGCATGTCAAGCCAAGTTGGAACAGCCTTGGCTGTCAAAGGGTCAGCCTGCCAGCCTGGGCCTGCTGCATCCCAGCTCAGTATGATGCAGAAGGTGCTCCAGTGCAGGTCTAGCCAGCAGGCAGCCCCCACACTGAAGCACCCTCACACCCCAGCCAGCTGTGTCAGTGTGTACGCATGCACTGCTACAGAGTTTATTAGTTTCCTGCAGCCTAATAGGGCCATACGTGTAGACATGAGATATTTACTGTGGAGCTGATTAGTCTACTCCACAGTATGTCTCATGTAGATGCATCCAGGTGCAGGTACATCCTTTGTAGGCTAAATGTTCATTCCTTTGTTGTGCTAGTTTAATGAATACGTCTCTCCGAGGTCAATGATGAATAGTAAAAGGTCTGAATGCACAGGAAATGCACTTCCATTACCCTCCTAGTTCCCAACAGTCTCCCTTTATCCTGTCACACTCTAGTAGTGCTGTGATGGAGGAGATACTGCTGACAGCTTGGGGTAAGCTCAGTTCTAGGTCTCTACAGTGTAAGGAGACATGGTACTGAATGTCATCCAACAGAACCAATTAAAAGGAGCTGAGGGTTTGGAGTGTCTTGACTGGTTGTGCATGATCTCAAGTTTTCAAGCTGAGACCTCTCGGGTGCATTATTATGGAATGATGAGCCCAATTTTGATTCTGGCTTCACGAAGGGCAATGCTACATCTTATATTTTTATAATAGAAAATATTGGGTCAAACTGGTTTGTGAAATGGTCATTAATTTGAGTGCTCTTCTATCCAAGCTGACTGTGTGGTTGCTGAACAAATCCCAAAGGGTTCCTATACCCATCCAAGTACCTGGTTATAGTAATCCACCTGTGTTCTTGTGATACTAATTTGTCCTCATCTAGGAAAGATTTGCTGACTTTATTTAGCGTGGACTTTCTGGATTTGAAGGATGATCATGCTTGAACTAGTTAGTGTGTGCTCACACTTCAACCTGCATGTTCCTATAGGCTGCCAAATCTGTCTGTACTAAACCAGTTGGGTGGCTCTTTTTTTTCCTCTTCTCTCCCCTTCCCCAAGGATGCACATGATGGGGAAGTGAATGCAGTGCAGTTCAGTCCTGGCTCTCGGTTACTAGCAACAGGAGGCATGGATCGGAGGGTTAAACTCTGGGAGGTCTTTGGAGGTAAGCTTCTGCTCAGGAGCTCGGTATGAAGAGATATAAGCAACTAAGAACACTACTTATTCTGCTAAACTTCAAATTCCTTGCAGGGGGATTATGAAAAACAATTTTTTCTGCTCAGGGCTCATTTACTGATGTTCTTGAGTTAAGCGTACAATTTGTAGACCCAAAAAGTACACTGTGGAATTGTGAGCCTCTTATGGTGGATAAGCTGACTTTACTATTTCTGGGGGAAAATGTAGAATAAAAGCAGACATAGATGACCTGATTCAGAGTCATGCTACTTTGTAGTTACACAGTGGGGTTGTGGGGGGGGG